AGATCATCCCTGACAGATGTCTATCTAACCTGCTCTTAAATATCTCCAGAGATGGAGATGTTCCTCGGTTCCTACTATTAAAGCAGAATTAACAGAGTACTGATTAGCATGATTTCCTGCTGCCTCTCAAATTAATATCTTGAAAATAAACCTCTCACACCTCTGTTTTAGTTGATCTTATAAGAGAATAATATATATACACTAAGGATACACGAAGTAGCAAGAGACTAGAGAGTCACTGAGAGATATAATGGGCATATTATTCAATTAACTAGTTTTACCTGATGAATTGCATTCCTGTTTGTACAAAATTATTTACTCTATTACTAATTTTACAGAATCAAGAACAACATTAATTTGCTAATATTTCAAAATATGTGTACTTTCTGAAAGGTAACATAGTGCTGTTGTTAGAGGAAGGTGCTAAGCACTAGAAAACTGAAGTCACTGTGTGAGTTCTAGCAATCCACTTACGCATGTTGTGCCTCTGTTTCCCCATCTATAATAGAAGAAATACTTATCCACTTATGTAACGCACTTTAAGAACTTGAAGTGAAATTACATAAATGAAAAGTATTATTATATTTGACCCAACATCCTCTAAGTGTATGTGAATCTTTAAAAATTTTGCTTTAAAAAAATGGCCATTAAAAAGCTGAAAAATGAATACAAATGGCTTTATGATCTCTTGAGGGAAAAGTGAAGTGTAACTAATAACTAAGGCATGTAAATCTGAAAGATAAAATGGCTCTCAAGTGTCAGACACTTCTTAATACTTAAAACTGAGCTCAGTTAACTACGGAAACTATTCATCATCTGTTAATGGACCTGGATACTTCCTTGATTAAGAAACTTTAGTTTTGTTAACAATGTCATCATCAATCAGTTCCTTTGACAGAAGGAAAAAAAGGAGTCTGGAAAACTGAGTACAAATTTGTGGTTCCCGTGACTGAGCTTTACGGCATTTATTTCGAAGAAATGCTCATGTTTTTAGTTTGGTTACTATTCTTTTCAGAATTTGATATTTCGAACAGAGTGCAATCCTAGAAGGAGTTTGCTCTGGTAGGTGTTAGAGAAGAAACAGGCAACCCAGGAGCAGATGGGGTAAAAGGAACTGCTTTATTGCCTATGCATATTTACCTCGGACATTCAACACAATGTCCAAGTGGCAACAAACTGGCATTAGTCAAACCCTTTTATCTATTTTCGTATGTTAATTCACACATCTATCACTACTTTTCCTAAACCCTTAGGGTATGTCTACACTACAAAGTTAATTCGAACTAACAGATGTTAGTTCGAATTAACTTTGATAGGCGCTACACATAAAAACCGCTAGTTCGAACTTAATTCGAACTAGCGGAGCGCTTAATTCGAACTAGGTAAACCTCATTCTACAAGGACTAACACCTAGTTCGAATAAAGTAGTTCAAATTAAGGGCTATGTAGCCACTTAATTCGAACTAGTGGGAGGCTAGCCCTTCCCAGCTTTCCCTGGTGGCCATTCTGGGTACCACCAGGGAAACTCTTCTGCCCCCCTCCCGGCCCCGGAGCCCTTAAAGGGGCACGGTCTGGCTACGGTGCCCGTGCCAGGTGCAAACCTGCCAGCACCTAGCCAGCAGACCCTGCACCTGGAACGCTGCCACCCAGCCCTCCGCCTCTTCCCGGGACCAGACTGGCAGCTCTCAGGAGCCCTCCCCGGGCCCCC